ATTCCTGCTCTTCCTGAAAACTATTGATCTTTGCTTTATACTAGTTGTCTCCTGTATCCCATCAGAGCCAGTCATATTTTAGTGGCGCAATGTAAACACTATGTGTGTGAATGCATAGGTACGTATTACATGTGTACACACATATGTATGAAAGCACATTGAAAATGTCTTGATGAAAGAAAAACTGAAATATAGACTTGGACTTAATCTATTTTGTCTTTTTTTTTTTTCCTCCCTAGACAGGGCTATTTTTTTCAATATTGAGTTTTTCCCAGTGTTAGATGACTTTGAGTCCTGAAGATATAGAAATAGGACATACTATTAAGGATATCATTATTATTTTGACAACATCAACTTTGACAGCTTCGTGAAGTTGATTGAATAAGCAGTGATTCATTACCCATCAAACAGTATTTTCCCACTTCTCCAACTTCCTCTGCCTCCAATGGTGCAGTATTCTTTTTTGTTTTTTTTTTTCCTCCCTAGACAGGGCTATTTTTTTCAATATTGAGTTTTTCCCAGTGTTAGATGACTTTGAGTCCTGAAGATATAGAAATAGGACATACTATTAAGGATATCATTATTATTTTGACAACATCAACTTTGACAGCTTCGTGAAGTTGATTGAATAAGCAGTGATTCATTACCCATCAAACAGTATTTTCCCACTTCTCCAACTTCCTCTGCCTCCAATGGTGCAGTATCCGTATTTTATAAAAGCAATAATCCCTCTCTTCTGTGTCGGATAAACAGCTTGATCAGTTACAGGAATTTTCTTCCATGTTTGCTTTTGCACATGCCAGAGCACGTGTCTTGGGAAGAAACTGTTGAGGAAAGGCTAAGTCAAAGAGGTAAGATATTCAGGCAGTCTCAAACGCAGTGAAGCTTCTGCCCATTTTCAACTGCTATAAAAGCGTATTTCACGCAGCCTAGGTCCAACTCCCGCCCTCACAAGCAACCCCCTGTCGGCTGAGTTTCTTCATTTCGGGGAAACGCAATCACTGATGGAAGTCATGCCCACTAGGAACCAAGCTCCTTTCCAGGTAGCTTGAGACATCTCTACAGAGGCTTTCTCAACGTCAGAGCAGAGACTATAGAACAGATCCTACGTAAAACGTGGGAGCATCACTTGCAAGGACTGGTCTTGGGGATGTGCTCATTTGCAGCCTGCTCCCAAGCCGGCTGTTGTTACATGCTGCCTCTGCCGACCACCCGTCCCCCTCTGCCACGGCTGTTGTCCCCTGCCTAACAGCCGGTTTCCCACCAGAGCGTGGGTGCACTCCTGGGGTTGGCGGAGGAGACCTGCTTTGCACCGCGTTCTGGCCTATCGGGGGCTGAAAGGCCACTGTGGAAACCTAGAGGTCACGTTTTAAGAAACAGGAGGCCACCACAAAGGTCCGAATCCAAATCTGCCTCTTCTGGACTTTGGAGAAGAGCTTCAGCTGCCAACGCAAAGGTTGTTATTCAGGGCCGTCTCCGAGAGGTAACCAAACCCTTCGGGGCTGTGAGATGTTTTATTAGGAGACGGGGCCCTGGTGTTTCCGTCACCAACGATGGCCCGCGAGGTGGCCCCAAACCGCTCTGATTCCCGGCGCGAACCCGGCTCGC